GTTCATCTGCATAAGCAGATAGTTTAGAAAACACAAAATAACAGCTGTATGATATATTCACCAACATTGCTGTTCTCTATAAGACTCAGTACTCATAATTTCAATCAGGGCACAATGATTTACCGTAAGCCACAATTATTTACTGTAGTAGTTACCGAGGCCGTCAAAGTAACTGCCGTAGTATTTCAAATCCACCAATGTGGCATATGAACAAAGCTTATTCCAGCGACTAAAAAAAAATTACTACCTCAACATCGTAAAAACTCTCAGCTATGGTAATTCCTAAAAACTACAAAATCCAGTGGAACCAATACTGTAACAGCAGTTAGTTATTAATCAAATAGTTTACTTAAGATTACAATTTATAAAATTCTATGCAAAAAAAAACAAAACAAAAAAGCCTGCAATTAAACCTAAGGTTCATGCAGCCATGCAATTGAACCTAAGAATATTTTAGTTACCTGAACAAACTTTCTTATTCGATTTCGTATTTCACTTTTTTTTGTGCTTTGATATTTTGTTATAGAATTCTTTCTTAAACTTCAGCAAACTTAAACTCGTTAAGTTGAAACGCCCTCAAATCATGTACTAATTTTCAAAAAACAAATCAATTCTGGCAGAGACCTTTTGTGAAATTTACCAAAACTGTAAAATATTTAGCATTCAAATTCTATGTTATCCAGGCAAGGCTATCATACGGGAGAATAAGGTGAGGAAAGCCAGAGAAATTTGGCCGGAAGTTGCTTAACCAAAAAAGTAACCACATTTCTGCAAAACAGTATGTATGATTTTAAGTATGTATGATTTTAAGCATTGTCCTGACTTAGGACTCACAGATGGAGGAAACAGGAGCAGAAAATCGCTGGGTTTCCGAGTTTTCCCTTTCATCTGTTAAAAAAAAAAAAAAAACGGTAAAAACACAATCGCATCTGTACATCACAGGGACGACCAGCAGTAAAAGCAAACATATAAAATAAACTTTACATATGCTGCAAAAAAAAAAATGAGGGCCCAACTATCTAACTATGAACATTTGCCTGCAAATTAAAAGCCTAAAATAAAAGTCAGCAAAGCTGCTTGTAATGCACATCAAAACTGTCAAATATTTTACCAAAAATACCAGAACCATATGGACAATCGGTGCTAGAATCCCATACTAGTAATGTTACTGGATTGTTTCCATATGTTAAGCTATGCCAGACCCTTCGATCCTGAGCTGCGTACTTCCAGTAAATGGTTTAATCACCTGTTCGATTTTTGTGCGCCACTTCTTCAGGGTTTGCCTGAATAATCGTTTTTTTTTTTTTTTTTTTTTTTTTTTAAAAAAAAA